CATCGTCATCATCAGAGACAGGAGCAGGCTCCAAGTCAAGAGCAGGAGCGGCTGGGGGCGAGTCTAGAGCTAATGGCTCGGGACTAGAGGCCGGAGATGGTGGCGGAGGAGTCTGGGCAGCAGGGGACACTCTGGAGTGAGCAGGAGCGGTGTTATCGCGTTCTAGAGCATTCCAGTTCAAAGAGCGCTTAGGGCGAGAGCCTCGAGGTGGATTGGAGCGTGGCACAGCTGGAGGTGGTGCAGGAGGCATATCTGGAACGTCTGGAGGGGGTATAGCCGGCTGAGGGAGCTCTGGAGAGGGAGAACGCGAGACAGGAGCAGGAGCTGGCAGAGGAGCAGGATCAACCTCTTCCTCATCTCCCCCCTGAGCCGGCAACTCTGCAGGCTCTGGAGCGTCTCCCCCCTGATCAGGGACGTCTACAGAGGTGGAAGGCTCACCAAAGAGGTCGATAGAGCGCGAATTGCCAGGGAAGCAGCGCTCGTCAAAGACAGCATTAGAGGAATTGAAGAACTTGCGAGTAGCTGGGTCATAGAACAGCCAAGCTCTAACTCCGTCTGCATAACCCACAAAGATACACTTCCTGGTGTGGGTCTGGAGAGCCTTGCGCTTATCCTTGCGAATCAGGACGTAAGCAAGCGAGCCAAAGACCCTGAAGTAAGAGAGGTCCGGCTTCTTGCCCTTCTTCCAGAGAGAGTAGGGAATCGCGCCAGACAGAGAAGAGGTAGGCAGCCGGTTGTGGACATGGACAAAACAGCGAACAGCATAAGTCCAGAACGAAGCAGGCAACTTAGCTTCGATAAGCATAGCAGTAACGGCTGCCTGGATGGTCTGGTTAGTGCGCTCAGAGATCCCATTCTGGTAGGGCTCGTCCGTCTCAGTGTGCTTCCGCACTATCCCCTCCTGAACACAGTACGCATCCCACTCCTTACTCACGTACTCCCCACCCTTGTCATCCAAGGTGCACTTGATCTTCGTCCCCAGCGCGTTCTCAGCATAGGCCTTGTATGCTTTGAAGGCCTCGAACGCGTCACTCTTCTTCCTGAGAAAGGAGACGACGAAAAAGCGAGTATGAGCGTTGATAAAGGTGATCCAGTACTTGTAGCCTTCAATAGACGCAACCGGGAGAGGCCCCTTGAGATCAGAGACAACAAGATCAAGGGCAGCTGAAGGCCTAGTGGCGTGCTGAGGGACATTGTGACGGTGCTGCTTACCAGCGATGCAAGGCTCGCAGATAGGGTCAGGAGCGCTACTAGAGCGAATAGAGAGACCAGTGACGAGCTCCTTGCGCTTCATGAGCAAGAGGTCGTCATGGTTGAGGTGGGAGCAGCGACGGTGCCAAAGGGACAAGTCCAGAGGACAAGCGTCCGCTATAGAGGCAGACTGCGATGGAGGGACAAGGGTACGGCCATCCAAGTACCCAGTGTTGCGATCGTTGACAGAGGCGGTGAACAGGAGCTTCCCACTGAGGTAGAACGATGCAGTCGCATCCTGGATCTCACAGCGATAGCCCTTCGCTCTGGTAAGGTGGTAGACAGATAATAGATTCGATCCAAGCTGAGGAACATGTAAGACATCGTGGAAGACTACAGCAGGCGCGATAGACCCTCTAATCAACGGCTCGAACACTACAGACCCCATCCCAGCCAAATAGATGACTTGGTTGTTGGCGAGGCGAACAGGGACGATGTGGGGAGAGTAGGAGCGGAACCAGCGACGATGGGGGGTCATGTGTGAAGTAGCGCCTGTATCGGTGTTCCAGTTAGCAGCTGCCGGACTAGAGAGCCAAGAAACGCGCTCAGAAGCAGAGAGAGCGACACTTGCTTTGCCAGCATACGCCACAGCGTTAGCAGACTCCCCAGGCGTCTCGGACGCCTCCTGCGCGTTCTGGGGCCTCCTAGCACTTCCCTTGCGACGATCAGACCGCTCCTGGCGACGCTCAGCAGTCTTGGCCTTCGCAGCCTTGGTAGCCTTCTCCTTGGCGAAGTGGCCCACAGCATCGCAGAACGAGCAGCGGACGTCAGGGGCGAAGGAGGGACTGCCAGAGGCCTTGAGAGCGAGAGAGGGGGTAGAGGAGAAGCCTCGGGTCGTACGCTGAGTCTCCTCGTTCTGGAAAGCGCTCTGGAGCTTCGAGAGGCTAAGAGAGTCGAGCAGGAGCAGGGAGGAGACGAAGTTGTTGTACTCAGCAGGGAGGGAGTGAATGAGAGACATAGAAGCAAGTTCCTCGTCCAGCTGCTCAATGGTGAAGTCCTTGGGGCGAAGGGAGCGGATATCCTGCATAGCCTTGTCCGCTCTAGCCATCAGAGAGACCAGGGACTCGCCCTCATCCTTCCTCAAGCCCAGGAGAACATCATAAGCGTTGAAACGCGCACTAGGCTTCTGCTGAACATGAACCTCCCTCAACTTCTCCCACATCTTCAATGGATCCGTCTTCACCTCCTTCACATGCACCTTCTGCCCATCCTCCAAAGCCAACCATATCTCTCCAGCAGCTCTCCCCTTTCGCGCCTCCCACTTCCTCTGCTCCCTCTTGTCTTCGATGGTGGGTGTAGTCTCCGAGTAGAGCTCAGGAGCGGCTGTAGGATCGCTGGTGACGTCCCAGAGGTCAAGAGTCTTGAGATAGGCCTCCATATCATCAGCCCAGGAGCCATAGTTCCTCTCCCCAAGAGCAGGGAAGGTCCTCTTGGCTTGAGACATTGCTGAGCGACGAAAAGAGTGATGAGAGGCGATAAGACGACGATGGGAGCGATAGGGAGCGATGAGCAGCCTAAGAGCGAAGCAAAGACCACCAGAGACAGTCTAGGGGCAGTAGAGAGGAGTTGGGAATGAGATGGGAGGAAGATGGAGTTGTAGGAGCGAGTGGGCGCGAGATGGGACGTCCAGGGGCTGTCTAGGGCGAAACGGCGCGACGAAAAAGCCTAGGACAACGACAGGGACCGATAGGAACGATCTGGAGAGCGCAGGAGACAAAAGTGCGATAGAGAGCAGATGGAGGGCTGGAGAGGCTGAGATCTTGCTCTGATAAGAGTAGGAGCGCTGTAGAGGCTGTAGGACGGGCGAAAAGTGCGATCTGGAGCCTCTAAAGCGTTGGGCTCATACCCTGTCCAACTGGGAAGCTGGCAGGCGTCCAGATACACACAGAGATGCCTGAGTCAAGCTCTATTAATGCTAAGGAAGTACAGAAATATACAGAGGGACATACCTGAGTCAAGCTCTATTAATGCTAAGGAAGAGAGCTTGACTCAGGAGCGCATTTTCGCTCCTCTGGGAGCGTGGGAACCAACTGTACAGTATGGGAAATGCAAGGGAAAAGCGCAGGGTTAAAGGGGCTAAGTCACCAGGGTAAAGGAAGCCAAAATAGCGAAGTGGTTACCACCACTAGCTGGGATGCATACCTGGAGGTTTTGGTTCAATCCCCAGTCAGCGCACTTTTTACCTCCAATAGCCATTGCCCAGGTCAAGTCTGACTTGAAGTCCCACTTCAAACTTCGTGATTTAGGTCCTACCTCATGGCTACTGGGTGTACAGATAGAGCGGGATAGATCAAAGCACTCCCTTAGCATCTCACAGCGCCAGTATGCCTTGGATGTCTTGCAGCGCTATGGCTTCAGTGACTGTGATCCTGTCAGCACTCCTATGGACCCTGGATCGAACTTGTCCTCTGAGATGTGCCCCAAGACCAGGGAGCAGGAGTTGGAGATGAAGGACATCCCCTATGATCACGCTGTTGGTTCTCTGTTCTATCTCGCAGTTGCAACACGTCCAGACATAGCCAAGACTGTTGGAGTCCTTGCTCGCTTCACCAAGAATCCTGGCATGCAACACTGGAAGGCGGTCAAGCACTTGTTGCGCTACATCAAAGGCACCCTGGACTACAAACTGACTTATGCGCCCACCTCTGGCTCTGAGCTGTTTACCTCCTATGTCGATGCTGTGGAGGGAACTTGGACAATGGCCGGTCCACTACTGGTTTTGTGATCAAGACGGGTACTGGTGCTATCTCCTGGAGCAGCTGCTTACAGAGCATTGTTGCGCTCTCTACCACTGAGGCTGAGTATGTGGGTGCTGTCTCTGCTGCCCAGGAAGTGCTCTGGCTTCGAAATCTTCTCTCTGAATTTGGTTATGACATGTCCTCCCCATCCACACTTTATATCGACAACCTCTCTGCTCTGTCTGTTGCGAAGAACCCAGAGCACCATGGCCGCATGAAGCACTTGGATTTGTGCTTTTACTGGCTTAGGGATGAAGTCACCAAAGGCAAACTCAAGATGGTCCATCTGCGGACCTCAGACATGCCTGCGGATATCCTGACTAAATCCCTGCCTAGGCCGAAGGTCTTAGAAATGGTGAAGATGCTTGGATTGGGGAAGTGACCAGTCAGGGGGGAGTGTTGAGATCTGATGACTTGGTCACTCTTTGTTGACTGAGTGGCTCATGGAAT